TGACATCAAAACAATAATAACGTTTAAATAATGACGTGAGGTCAGAAAAAAAAAAATTCCCACTGGGGACGGCAGGTGGACGTCCTCTCCGAGTCGTTCGGTCGTATAGGCTCTGGAATTCTCGCTGGAAGGAGCTCATAAATACATCATTTAGCGGCCGCGTTGTTGTTTCCGTGACCCCAGCAGGCTGGCTCCAACGAAAGTGAAGTGAATCACTCGCGGGGCACGATGCGCGTGAGAATCACTGAGGTGCGTCTCTGTCTTGCGCTGGCAAACCTTATACAAGGCCGACCGAAATAAAGCGAGCGGGCTCGATTTCTGGACGCAGCCCTCAAATGTCACAATCGCGGGGTTTTCATTTTTTCCCACGCCATTAAGACCGGATGCCACGACACCGAACATGAAAGAACGAGAAAACGGTCGTGATTCATATGGACGTCTGTCTCTCAAATACGCCAGGAGAGGTCTAAATAGCGACTGCAAGTTCAAATGAACTCCAAGTTTGCTCTTTCCTTAATCTCTGTAGCAAAAGAAATGGCCTAAATTTGTGCTGTTCAGCATTGCCGTTGTTGGTATAATGTGCTTGCTCGAAACTTCGGAGGAATTCCGCTAGAGGGCGTTGTCCGTTGTTATTTGACTCATGGGCGTCGTCCAGAAGGTAAATAAATAGAGTTATTGAAACTTAGTCCAATGTTTATGAGTAAGTTCTGGAAGGGAGTTTACCCCTTGAATTAAAGTATAAGAACTTTTTCAAAGTAGGAAGAGAAAGTGAAATGTCCAGGCCTAATTTTTGTTGTTGCGGAGAACGGCGAAAGTGGTTGCGGGACAAGGTTAGGTATCGTCACACTGGGTGTGTTACGTTGGGCTAGGAGCAGTTTAACACCTGCCTGAGTTTGTGAAAGGTGCGAACAGAACGGCTGACGTTCGTGAATAACAACTCGAGAGTGACAAAAGAGTCACGAATCGGGCGTGGGGGTGGCGTGCTTAACCGCGCGCTGTACTTCTACCTTAAGTGTCTTTGTTGATTGTGTTGGGAATGACTTAGTTCTATTCTTATGATTAAAAATAAAACATTGACCCATCTATTGGGCTCATAAAATGGAATTGTATTACTATGTATCTCATGTTGCCTCTCTTTTTGTTGCAGATTCAACCCGAAGTGTTAAAATAATTCAAAAATGCCGAAAAGACGAAGTTTATCTGGAAACTGTGCCATTGGGGTGTTTGTCATTGCAGCTGTCACTATTGTTGTTTCATTTTGCACACCAAGTTGGCTGGTAAGCTTTTGTTCCTCCTTCATTATTCAATTTATTCTAGTTAGTAAACCTAACACTTCTATCTGTTAACTCGACTCTTAGGTCAGTGACTATAGAATAACAGGGGCCAAGCTAAATCGATTAGGTTTGTGGACCCATTGTTTCCGATCTCTACCAGATCCTCAAGATGAATATCAGAAACGCTTCTTTGTTGGATGCCGTTGGATCTATGATCCATTCACCACTGGGTATGACCAAATTCGGGGCTACCTCATTCCACGTACGTACATTGTGCTATAATTGGTTATTGCCTACCAATTTAATGTTTAAAGTTGTCTAATTATGTTGTGTCTTTTTCTTCTCTGTCTCCAGCTTTTATGGTTGCCACTCAATTCTTTTTCACCCTGACATTCATTGAAACTCTCCTGACTACCATATTGGTACTGGTCTTCTTTTTGTGTGCTGGTCCAGATCAGAAACGATATGTACAGCTCATCAAGATAATTGGATTCTTGCTTATAGGAGGAGGTAAATAAATACTTGTTCATATCACTTCTAGAACAGTCTATAAATAATTTTACACATTAAATTTTTCCTTGCAGGAATTTCAGGGGGTATTGCAGTAATAGTATTTGCCTCATGTGCAAATCGCAAAAACTGGATGCCTGGACAAGTGAACAATTTCTTTGGATGGTCTTTTGGACTTGCAGTAGTGGGAGTTTGCATGAGTCTTATTGCAGGAACATTGTTCCTTGTGGAATCAAACATTCAGAAAAAGAAGAGGAAGTATCTCAAGGAATCTCAAACAAGATTTGAATTGGATCAAGAAACTAAAGCATAGTTGAAGACAACTAACATTTAGTGTTATTGCCAATGATCTGACAAATTGAGATGTTTCAAGCTTGTATAGATTATTATTATATTGGAAGCACAGAAGAAGAAATGGATAGACTTACTGTATTCATGAACTAGTTGATGATTTTGGGGTGGCTCTGTAACAATCGTTTTTATGACCAGGATTGTTACTGCAGAGTTCTTATGTTTTGCATACATATTGGCTATAACAGGCATATGACATTGCTTTTTTTAAAAGCCGTCAGTCCATGAACTTGATGTGTTCTCAGGTGCCTTCAGAAAGGGTTCCTTGGAAATCTTTTCAAACCTTTGACTGAATGTTATTTTTAAATGATTGGAAACAGATGTTTACAATTGCTCTGTCAAAAAATTCCTTCCTTAGAAGTGATTGTATTTGTATTTATTAGTTTTACATTTAAGACAAATGATAGTCTTGATATTATTCTGTCTAGTGGTCCTAATATTTTTATGCTGCGACTCATTTTTCATTTTCTCGTGTTACAATGGCATCCGTCCACATTTGCCTAGTGTACATTAAGTTGAAGAATCTCTGTGACAATTTGCACAAATTATGTTCTATATATCCGTCCAACTTAGTCTGTAATTTTGTTGAAGTTTTCCTTTTTGATGACCATTGTTTTTTGAAACCACTTTAATTTTTACTCAGAGCAAGCCATGTATGTTTAGCTATCTAACTGTTACTCTAACTATTCAACTGCATATCACTGAAATTTTTATGATTGTCCAGTAAGTTGATTATAAATTGACATGTATGCCTGAATTTTGTAGGCTAGTTGATTGAGCTTAAATTAGCGAAAAGAGTGAATGTGACACTAAGGATACTCTAAAACTCTCATATCAACTTCATATTTCGTAGAAGACATTCATTGAAACCACATCAAAAAGCCCTCTGTTAGTCTTATTATTATCTACCTATTTTTTTGATGTTAATCATTCAATACCATCTGAATTTTTATTTTCACTACTGAAGGTGTTTTGCCTCTCATTGTAGAGGGTAATTTCTAGTACTATTCCTCACTTATTCATTCCAATCTGAATTTTTATTTTCACCACTGTTGGTACTAGAGAGGGTATTTCTCTGTATTATTCCTTTGTTAAGTATTACTGCCGTCCATTTTTAACAATTTTCTACTGTATGTCAATTAAGAATAAATTTTATGTACACAATTATTTAGTTTTGATTCCCTAACATTACAATATTTTGTCGACTTTTGTCGACTTTACCATTGGTTCACACATGTGGTCACTCTGACGAGAGAAACAGACAGTTCTCTGTATCGCGAGCACGTTGAACGTTAGTTTTGATGAGACTGTGATATGCACCATACTTGATTCTCAACCTAGTTCTCAAGACCGTGCCTTACCGCCTTACCATACCTTCACGAAGCAATTCAAATTTAAGCGCGCTGCTTCGCTTCTGTTCTACCAACCCATATTCCATGAATCTCCCCAACATTAAAGAAATTTCTCGTAACAAAATTCAGCAGCCAATATAAAATTCCTGCAAAAGTATCTAAAAAGTCTCTTTAACCAGTAATAAAAATTAAGATTCTGAGGAAACGTAAGGTTTTCTTTTTCACTTTTGGAAATCATGTTGCCTAAACTGACTAGGCGTGGCGGTGCATTTTTGTGAGAAATCGAGTGGGGGCTGAAGAAAACCAAAACACTGAACGGGAGATGTAAATATCTCCTAATTTACGCCGAAATTAGCCTCTATAGTCACTTCTTCACCTTCAATTAATCGTTGGTAGCAAAGATGTCGGTGAATTCGGAGCAGGAGTACCCGAAGGCCTCGCGTAAGTTGAATTCCATCCCAAATTGACAAACATAACCAATCAGGTGATTCACTTTGTTCTCCACAGGTTGTTGTTTTTATATGGAGAATGGTTCAAACTAGTTCGTTTTCAAATATGATCTTCTGCTTTTTCTATTATTTCGGTCACTTGTATCTGTTCATAAAAACATTTTAAATTCAAATGTTCTAACCTTGTCAAATGCGACACCCACTTGCCCACCAACATTTTATTTGCTAGAAGTCACAATTTAGAAGTCACAATAATGTTTCTATTTTCAGAGGCTATGCACTATGGGGGAGTGCTTTCATACTGTGCTGGTATATTCTTGATAATGGCATTCTGCGGGTAAGTATTGAAGTACTTATGTTTCTTCTTGATATTTTCTAGTCCTACATTTATTTGTAAAATTTCTACATCATTGCAGACCATATTGGATACAGTCCTACAAAGAGACATTTTCACCATTCAAGCACATGGGACTTTGGGAATATTGTTTTGAGAATTACCGTTACCCTTACTACCAATCTGATCATCTTTTCCATGGATGTCACCACATTTTCAGCCAGGAGTATTATGTGATTCGTGAATGGTTGATACCAGGTACATTATTTCAGCTGCATTTCTATAATAAAAATAAGATTTTTGAGGGAGTTGAAACTTATGTAAATCTTTTCTCCAGGATGGCTCATGGTGGTTCAGACATTTGTCACTTTGGCTCTGCTCCTATCTTTCACCGCCCAGGTTCTTGCTGCTCTCACCCTTATTCGCTGGCCATTGAAGTTCGTCCTCAGATATGAGTGGCTGCTCACAGGCCTCTGCTTCATTTTCAATGCTTCCGCAAGTAAGTCCTTGTTAGAGGTTGTTTCAACAGGTTTTTTCTAAAGTTATTTTGTAGAAAATGTATTATTTATCAATTCTTTACTCTAACAATGATATTTATAGGTGCCTTGCTGTTTTTGGCTGTGAGCATCTTTGGAGGACAGTGCTGGCGCCGCGATTGGATTGAGTATCCCAACTACAATTACCTATCTTGGTCATATGCATTTGCAGTGATTTCCTTCTTCTTCCATGGTTTCGCTGCATATGCTCTCTTTTTTGTAAGTTTTAGTCCTATTGAAATTGATGATTTGTATGTCACACATTTGAGTTTCACAATTCAGTCCATGTGAGCAATGCTAAAGTGCCTTTGCCTGTTTTAATTACAGGAAACTCGAAGGAACTACGAGCAGAGAAGAGCCAACAGCAATCTTGTGATGCAAATGTACCCTGATCATGCTAGAAATGGGTACATGTAAAAAGATCATATATCAGAAGTTTCTGTTGAAGAAATTCCAACCTGCATTATTATTATCATTGCCATTTCATGTAATGCATTCCATAGTCCTAATGTGCCTTCTCAGAACTTACTGTGTCTACAGAGCTTTTTTCTTCAGTTTGCAGTGCACAGTTCACTGGACTACTTCATGCTAGCATAATTAAAGTAGCGGTGTGTGTTGTACTTTAAAATAAGAGATGTTAAGTAACATGCAATTTGAGAGTACTTAGCAGTTTCTTGACCTTAATTTGACTGTCTGGAGATTTTTAAATGTGCAGATTGTGTTCATTTACCGTCTGTCTCATTTGCTCCTATGACTTGTACTTTCCTCTATAAAGGAATAATTTTGTACTTCTCTTGCTAATTTTAATTAGCCTAAATTTGGTATACTTGTGCCTCAAGTGCCTTACATATTTCTCTATTTGTAAGTATACATCATTCACTATTCCTAAGAATTTAATATGACCAATTATATGAAATATTATTACTACTTATGATTTATGTTCCACAAGATGATGACTCTGACTTATATTTAAATTCAGTATTATACAGACTGAACGAAAATCTGAGCACCCCACATTCTTCTTATGTTAGAGAAGCACGTGTTTTAGCTGTAGTATCTATGTATTCCGTCCATATCAATGCATAAATCTCATTTTTTTGTTACATGCATTCAAAGTGCTACTTAGATTTTCTATTTATATATTATAGGTTTTGATGATATAAGTATTTTTAATTATGTATTTCAAATTGTGTTCTTTTAAATGAACTGTTTGTAGATCAATGAGATCCCAAAATTTTAACTTAAGCTCTTAGAAGACCTAGCTGCACAAGTGAACCAGGAGTAGAAATACGTATGTTCACTGCTCGGTGGCAAAATACCAAGTAGGTGTTACTACTATAGGCCTTGAATATCTGCCACAGCCAATTTGTTACCATCTTCCGAATGTGTATGTAATTGCATTCTCTTTTGTTTTTGTGCCTTCCTCAGTTGTTTTAGATCCTGTGAAATTTTTTTATATGACTTTATGCAATTTATCTCTTTTGTGCTACAACATTAAATGCCCTATTACTAAATTCTAATGTAGCATTTCAATAATTTTAGCACCACACCCTACAACTCTTAAAAACAACTCACCTGGAACTTGTGATGCATGACACTGCTGCAGAACATAGTTGATCGTCTCCACTGGCACATTACCATCCAGGACAACCAGGGCGCTTGATGCTAAGGTTGTTTTATGACACTGCACCTGAAGACGGAAAACAAAACTAAGTCTAGAAGCGAGTGTAAATGTACCACAGCTAGCAACAAGAAGAAGAAGAGGAAGGAAGGGCTAATTTAGTACACACTCAAACATTTTTACTAGAAAATGTGCCTGGTAACTATAAAGGTTTTAAGCTGTTGTATTTTCCAGAAATTCTTTAGTATTACTTAACTTTTTCCTAGTATTACAAAACGTTCTCCAGGAATTATTAAACATTTTCCTTGTAACATTATTGTAATACGAGGAAAACATTTAGTATACTAAATCATTTCTTGACAATGCACAACAGCACAAAATTTAGAAGATACCAGGCAAATTTTCTGGAATCTTTTTTAGATTAGAGTGTATTGAATCCACTATCTGCCCACCATGTCCGTCGAGATGTTGCCGAGGATCTCCATGTCACCAGCCCCGGTGTGGCAGTCGCCCTCGGAGGTCAGAAGCAAGGTGTAGACGGCCGTCCGACCACCGGGGACCACACGCACGCCCGACGTGTCCTGCGAAGCCACAAAAAGGAAAATATTGAACTGCTGACGTTGGTTGTTAACCGTCAAAATTGCGCCGTTGCGCCATCATTGTGTAGACGATGAAGGTGACATCGATACGACGCCACATCGCATTCTTCGCTCTCACCAGGTGCGCCAGGGTGTCCCTGCGAATGTAGAGCCCCGCGAGGTCGTCGCCGACGGCGCTGACGAGCAGCGGCCACGCGCCCAGCCGACCCAGGGCGTCCGCCATGTTGCGGCCCACGCCACCGCCAGACTGCACGATGTGTGCGAGGTGCGACCGGCCGTCCGCCTGCAACATACACATAGGGAAGGTCAAATTATCATAAGGAATTTACCGTCTTCGCGTCACAGTCACAGTGATAGTAGTACAAGTACAATGTCATCAGCGACATAAAAATAAACTAAAAAGTCGATGGAGAGCCGCCGGACCGACCACGTGCCCCACCCAAGAGCTTTGCACTGTAAAACACAGACACACAGCATATTAACTTAATACACTGGTCATCTGGTGTTAGTTATAGAGTGGAATTTCTACATAGTTGCGATTAATCGCGGACACCAACAGTCTATACCCCCACGGTTTACAATACACAAAAACAGTATTTGACTGTACCTTTGCTATCGCAAAACCGCGCAAGCGGTCCATGGCGCCTTGTAGGTAGGCAACATCTTGCCTTGCAGTGCATGCGCGTACTGCGGGACGGCCCACCCCGAGTCTCACAGGCGCCGAGCTCCCCCGTCGTCATTGGGCGAACGAATCTCGGGAGAAACGGACGCACTTTCTGGACGATATCCCCTGCTAAGGCGTAAGGCTTACACACACTAATGGAGTAGCCGGGACCCCGCGGAGCAGCCGGCCGGAGTCGCCTGGCGGGGGGACGCAGCAGGGCGCGGCCCCACCCTTGCAATGTGACGTCTCTCTGTAGCCCTCCACCACCACCACCACGGGCCCCGGGCCCTGGGCCCCCATACCCCTCCCCAACCGGAGTGGGGGTCCCTTATCACGACAAGAGGCGGCCTACATCTCCCCTGCGGCGAGCGCGAGTGACACTCGAACCAACGCCACGACCACCGCCTCCTACAACCCCCACACCCCATAGCACCGCACCACGACCGCCCTTGCCTCGCCCAACGTAACCGCCGCCGGCCCAACCTACCCGCCCACTACCTCCACTGCGAATAAGTAAAATTGGTGAAAATGTGCGCAGCCAGAAGAAGGTGGGCACCCACCCCGATTCTGCAAACACCCGGTTTGCAATTCTCGGTTGATGCAGTCACCAATATCTTACTGTGTCATCAAGGGAAAATGTCAGCGAATACAGACACCAAAAAGCTGGGGACTGTAGCCCAGATCGGGAGCAGCGGAAGTTACAAAATTGGAGAGCTCTCCGCTCCGACCATCCTCCTTTGCGCGAATTGACATCGTATGAGGCGAGCAAATGAACGCTCTGAGTGAGGTTAACTCGTTGCCGTCTACCAGTAAATGCAAGAGACGCGTATCCCCTCCCCGAGCGAGAATAATTCAATAATCGACGTCGGATATCGAAAGAACGACGTCGCGATTTCAATGACGAAAAAGAAGATACGTTTTTCACAGGGGCCAGAGCTTCGTCTACAGACACTGTTTTTCAACGAATGTGACGTCACATTCCTTCAATAACAGTGGAAAGGTGCAATAAAGGTCGAGCGCAGTTTGCCTACTTCTGGCCATCCCATAACACCCAGGGAACCGTTTAGTCCAGGTGACGAAATTCAGAACCGACAACATTTTGCAGCTCTGTGGACTAGATTTTAGTCGTTCTGATAAAAAAAATAATTAGTCAAATTACCTGAGTTTTGATGAACTTGACCAAATTTATAGTTATAAAGGAAAGTACTAAATCGTAGTTGGTTTCATGAATTAAATCTTGCTTTCTGCGACCCTGATTTGGTTGAATCAACTAAATGGTTCCCTGGGTACAATGGGAGCAGAAAAACCATCTTCACCACCTTTTAAATCCGTGGCTGAGTAACGGAAGTGGGGTGCCAGGGACGGCCCAAGCGGGCCCCGGCTGACACCTCAGCCCTTCCTGAGAGCAGCACTCAGCGCGCGAGCGGGGCGCGAGCAGAAGCATCACGGAAAGTTTCGTGATCAATTATCGTTCCGACCTCGCGCCCCCACCTTGTCGCCCCGCGATCCCCCGGCCTCTTCTAATAACCTGCCCGACCCGCCGGCCGAGGTCCTCAGATCAGTTGGAGCTGGACCAGGCTGCCCGAGCAGACTAACCCGACCTGGCCGCGCGACCCTAACATCAACAACACCAACACGTCCTCCAATAGGCACCCGTACGCGTCGGCTGGGCCTCTTGGGGCGAGGGACCTCCTGGAACCTCTAGTAGGCATCGCAGTGGCAGTGGCCTCCTGCTACCGGCGGAAACCGCGCCAGAAGGCGGCCCAGCTCGTCTCCCGCAACACCACCCGAAGGTAGCCCAGCTGCGCAGCCTCTAAGCACCACCAGAATGTAGCCCAGCTGAAGCCTATTATAACCATCAGAAGACAGCCTAGCTGCAGCCTCCTGGAACCACCAGTAGACAGCCTAGCTGCAGCCTCCTGGGACCACCAGTAGGCAGCCCAGCTGCAGCCTCCTTGAACCACCAGGCAGGGCAGCTGCGGAACAAAGCGGAACTGCCAGTAGGCAGGCCGTTATGGAAAACGCGAGAGCCCACACCACCGGGCCAGAGCAACCCCGAACCGGAGAAAAATGACGAATTGGGCGAGATATCCTCTATGAATTGCAAATACGCCGGCAAGTTTGTCTTCACCCCGCACCTCCCCTTCGGCCCGCCTGTTTGTCAAAGTTTCGCCTGCTGCGGAATGTTTTATTATGCATGCTTTTACCCTCGACTGTACCCTGAACCATCCTTTATGCCCCCTTTTTTTCACAGATACCCTTCGTCCGTTTTCTTCCCGCGCTGTACGGCAAGGTGTTGCTGAGTCAGCGGTATCTTGCCTCGGCTGGCCCGGCCCGAGAGACTCCTGGAATAAGTAGCTCGGCAAGTAGGAAGGCTAGTATGGCAGTCCAGCCGTTGCCAACATTCCTACAAGTAGGCGTGCCATCGCCTACTCCTACATTCCTACAACAAGAAAGGGCAGTGTCAGGTCGGTGCAGTCTTTCCTGCCATTGCCTTTCTTCTACATTCCTCATGCAAGGACCTCCGATAAACGTCGAGGAAATCTGCCTCGCACGATGGCGGAGAGGAGACGACGGAGGAAGAGAAGAGAAAAGGGAGGAGGGGAGAAGACGAAGGAGGAAGAGGAGAGAAAAGGGAAGAGGGGAGGAGACGACGGAGGAAGAGGAGAGAAAAGAGAAGAGGGGAGGAGACGACGGAGGAAGAGGAGAGAAAAGGGAAGAGGGGAGGAGACGACGGAGGAAGAGGATATAAGAGGGGAGGAAGGCCGCTGCCGCCTTTGTTCGCGATCCAATTCTCCAATAAATACAGAATTCCTCAGTCCTCACTGCTCCCGCCACGCGACGCCGAGAGGCGGGGAGGGGGGAGAATGAGGGGGAGTAAAATGAGACAGGATGGAGGGGGACTCGGCGGGCGGAAGCCAACAACAAGAAAAGTCAGTAAGAAGCTAAATTGTGACTTCATCTCCTTTATACACGTCAACATCGAAACCAGGTGGCTGATTAACCCCGCGCATTTCGAAACGATATAACGCCCTGGCCACGGCAAAAAATATATATGCGAGTGCTGCAAAATCTCTATAATTAGCTCTCAGAGCTAATATACAAATACAGGCACAGGAAAAGATAGAATTCCTCCGATACTCTGAAAACCCAACAGCATGCATTGCATGCGTTATATAAAGCATGCATGGTATGCATGCTGTATTTCACGCATGCATTGAGATGCATGCTGTTTTTAACGCATGCATTGAGATGCATGCTGTTTTTAACGCATGCATTGGGATGCATGCTGTATTTAATGCATGCATTGAGATGCATGCTGTTGCTACAACTCGTTTTTGTGGAATGTTTACTAAGTGAGCTTTTCGGTTCAATTTTTGATAAGCCCATCGGATTCCTTGTGAAATTTCCGTTCGAAAGAGCCTACATGTAATGGGGCCCTGACGCATAGTTACTTCGTACGTTCAGTTTAGCGGGTTTTT